AGAAAGAGAGAGAGAGAGAGAGAGAGAGAGAGAGCGCGCTCGCGCCCAAGCGTTTCGGGGTTCCGCCTAAAGCGGCCCCCCAGCAACAACAAGGCTCCAGCTTGATAGTTCCTCCTTTGTCACTCGGGGCGAAGGTTCTCCCTCGCCCCACGAAGCCTCCTCCCCAACAAAATCGGCACCCGCGCTCGATACTTCCCTGCTTTTCACCTCACGACCGGCGCCGCCGCCGCAGGGCCCCCGAAAAACTACGACGCCCCCGCTCGACATTTCGTCCTTTTTCGCTCGAAATTCCCAGGAGGCCCCGAGGCATCCATAATCCCTGTTGAACGCTAACTACTAAACAACTGCTGGACACCCTGATTGCGCTTTCGCGCTTTCGCGCCTGCTCCGCGCGGCCTCGCTCTCGCTCGCGTCCTCGGGTTCGCCGGTATCGTCTTCGCCGCAGCCCCCGCCGTCGTCGTCGTCGCCGTGACGTCGTAAAAAATTCCTTTTGTTGGACACCCTGAATGCGTTTTCGCGCTCTCGCGCCTGTTCCGCGCGACGTCGCTCTCGCTCGCGCCCTGGGGCGCGGCGTCGTCGCCGCCGTCGTCGCCGCCGCAGCCGCCGTCGCCATCGTCGTCGTCGCGCTCAAAAGAACTGAAACTCCTGGAGGCAACGGAAGGCCAGGGACATGTCTTGGAAAACTCCAAGGAGGAAGAGGAGCAGGACGAGGAAGACGACGACGACGACGACGATAACAACGACGACGACGACGACGACGAGCCCCAGCGCCACCAGAAAGCGGCCGATGCAAAAGCGGCCCCCGATAAGGGGTCGAAAGCCCAAGGGCCTAAGCGGTGAAGCTTTTTATTGTTTAAAAAAACGCTGCGGGTTTTCCACGGAACGATCCCAGAAGTTATGAAGCCTCCCCCTGCGGTTTTAGGCCGCCCACGCGTCGTGATGCCTAGAAGCAAACCCTGAGCAGGGCGATCGATAAGGTGATGTGCCATCCGGGCTGGAGATGTTGGGGTACCTCGGAAGAGGTGTTGTCAAGACCTCCTCGTTCGGAAGTGTAGGGCGAGGGAAGACCGGGCCCAGCATGCAAAACAATTCCCCTTTTTATACGGGGGATATCACGATGGATGCACACTGCATGTTGAAGCATCGAGCATCCGGCGAACTTGGTCGTTGATGATGATGTGGTTATTGCTGTCGTTGTTGCTGATGGTGTTGTTTCTGTTGGTCATGATTTTGCTGGTGATGTTGCTGTTGGAATATCAGTTCTAAAGAATCGTTGTTGTGGCCCCCTTTTCCCAGGTAACCATTGTACCTTTCAAATGAAACGCTTCTCCCGGGGCTCGCACCTTGTTCTGCACAATGGGAAGCGAGGCGTGACCAAAATGAACCCCTGGCCTTCGGTGTACAACCCCCATCGCGCTCTCGCACGGGACTTCTTCAGAATGTATGCAGACATCGTTCTCTCGCGTGGGATTCCCTCACACTGTATTCAAAGGCCGTGCCCTCAAATCTCAAGAACCACGCTCTCGCCGTGGTCAAAACTTTCTCGCGATTCATGCAGGACGCACGCTTCAACAACCAACCCGGCTGCTCGACCTGGCCGCCTGGGCCCGCCTTCCCGACCCGATATTTAGGGTCCACCCACCCGATCTGCCTGTCTGGTTTTGCCACGTGTTTTCTTCTCCTAGCCCCCCTCCTGCTCCTCTCTCTCTCGTGCTCCATGTTCCTCCTTCCCCTTTTGTCCCTTCCTTCCATCCGTCCTGTCTTCCCCTGCCATAGGGGCTGCACGAAATACCCGCTGCAGTTAAGAAAGATATCTACACGCAAAAGGGTACGTCGACGACGAAGAGGGCGGGTATCGAGGGTTCGGGATATACGTGTTGAGTGGCCCGCGGGCAAAACGCTGAATGTTGAGTGCTGAGTGTTGAACTCTACTTCCCAAAAACTAATTAGTGTGGTTCCCCCCAATCCGGGGCACATTGTGTTTTTCAGCTGAAGTGCTTCGCCTGGGGCTCGCCCCCTGTGTTTTACCCGGGAAAGTTCTGAGTTTCAGAATTTTGTCTTCGGCCCCCGGTTATCACAACAACGGCTCCCGCCTAATACGTCCTCACAAAGAATTCCAAAATCGTGCTCTCCCGCGGGGCTGCCGCACAATGTATGCAGACATCGCGCTCTCGCGTGGGACTTCCTTTCGATGTATTCATGTGCCGCGCCCTCGAATCTCAGGAATCACGCTCTCGATCTGGATTTCCTGACGAGTTACTTGGGAATCGCGCTGTCGCTCGAAACTTTCTCGCAGGACGCACGCTTCAGCAATCCGCATGCTCGACCCAGCCCCCAAGGCTCGCCTTCCCGATCCGCCTGTTAAGGTCTACCCGCGAGATCTGCCCGTCTGGCTCTGCCACGTGCCTTCTGCTCCTCCTTCCCCCTTGTCCCTTCCTTACGTTCGTCCTCTCTTCCCCGGCCTCAGGGGCTGCACAAAATACGTTTACTTTGCAGGTAAGAAAAACAGGGGGTACAATCGAAGACGAAAAAGGTGGGTATCGAGGGTTTGGGATATACGTGTTGAGTGGCACGTGCGCAGATATGAGCGAACAGTCTTAAGATGATTGTTGCTGTTGTTGCTGTTATTGTTGTCGCGGTGGTACGTCGGGGGCCAAAGGCCCAGTCTGAGGCCCAAGACGTTGCCTTGTAAGAAGAAACGTGCGAGCCCCGGAAGGGGCAGTTCAATTAAGAACCAAAGTGGGCACCGGAGGGGGGATCAGCAATACGTATTCCTTAATGATGCTGGTTCAACAAATGGCGCTCCCGGTCGAGACATGTTCGTTTTTCACTCAGGGCAAGCCCCTCTGCTCGCAGCCGAAAACCATCCCTGCTACAAAACCAGCGCTCCGGCCCGAGACGTCTGTCGATGTTCTTCTCTGGAGTGGCATTCGCGCTGTGGGTCTGGAAACCTGGGCCCTCACAACAACGACGCTTCCGCCCGATACGTCTTGCGCTCTTGCGCGCCGCCGACCTGCGTCCTCCCAACCAAACCAATGTTCCCACTATATACTTCCATGCGCTTTACCAAAGAATGGTGTTCCCGCTTTGGGTCCGCAACCGTTCCCGCTCGATACTTCCTCGCTTTCTGTCCAAGGTTGACGCTCTTGCCCACCACCGAAAACCGTCTCTCCAACAATGCAGCGCACCCACTCAAATCATCCTCCTTTTTTACTCCAAAGTAGCGTTCGCGAGTTGGGTCCACAAACTGGACCCCCAGCAACAATGACGCTCCCGCTCGATACTCCCCCGCGATTTATTCAAGACTGGCCCTCTTGATCCCCGCCGAAAGCAATCCCTCCCAAAACCTCAGCGCTCCCGCTGCACCATTTTCTTACTCAAAGAGGGCGTTCCCGCATTTGCGCTACAGCGGGGCGCCCGTTGAACAACAATGCTCGCGTTAGAGGTGCTCTCGCCTTTAAATCAAGGCTGTCAGTCTTGCTCGCCGCCGAAAACAGTCCCTCCAAAAAACCCAGCGCCCCCGCTCTATGCTTCCTCGCGTTTGCCCAGAAGTGGCGTTCCTGCCTTGGGTCCGCCAACCGACCCACTACAACAACGGCGCTCCAGCTCGGTACATCCTCGCTCGCCGCCGAAAAACGTCCCTCCAACAAAACCAACGCTCCCGCTCGATAATTCCTCGTTTTCTACATCGGCATTCTCGCTTTGGGTTTGGAAACTGGCCCCCTACGACAACGACGCTCCCGCTGGATAAGTGCTCGCTTTTTCCTCGAGAGGCACTGTTGCACGCCGGCGAAAACTGGCCCTCCAACAAAACCAACGCACCCGCTCTGGATGTTCGTTTTTACCCATGAGTGGCGCTACCGCCATGGATCGGGCAAACGCTTCCCCTTTCAAAAAGGACGCTTCCGCTCGATGGCTCCTCGCTACAACCACGGCGCTTCTGCTAGACAGTCTTCGATTCTGTCCGAGAGGTGGCGCCCGCGCCCTGGCGCCGCAAACCGGCCCCCTTACGACAACGACTCTCCCGCTCGATACCCCCTCACTTCCCACCCAAGGCTGGGGCCCTCGTGTCGACATCACCTCTGGAGGGAGGGCTACTGGGTGGCCCCAGGTGAGTTCTGAAAAGACCCAAGCAGAGGCGCCACAGGAGTCCCGAAGAGGCGCCAATCTAAAACTCCGAGGGCGGCCCAAGAGACCCACGGGCGGCCCAAGAGAGCCCACAGGCCGCCCAAGAGGCCGCCAAGATGACAGAGGGCATCTTGAAAGGTGCTGGCTATCTATTTGCGGGCGGGAAATCTGAGTAAGGGAATAGCGGGCCCTCCGATGGATGAGATAATTCCTCCCTGAAGGGCGTAAACTAGAATAGTGAATACATGTTGCATGGCGAATGCTTGACCATCATGGTAAAATGATTGCTGCTGCTGTTGTTGCCGTCCCCCCCGCGACCCACCTGGGACCCACCCGCGACCCACCCCGCGACCCACCCCGCGACCCACCCCGCGACCCACCCGCGATCCACCTGCAACCCACCCGCGGCCCACCCGACCCACCCGCGAACTATCCGCGACCCACCCACATTGCTTTGATGAAATTGCGGCGCCTGCAGCGGGCTCGGTGTGCAATGCCTAGAAGATCGGCGCCCGCGGCGGGAGCCTGCAGAGCATCGCATACTGCCGATCAGCCCGCCGCACACCCCCCCACTCTTATCCGCACCTGCGGGGGCTGTGGCTATTTTGTTTCGGGCGACCCCTGGCCAAGAACGCGAGGCGGAATGCCCAGGGAGCACAAGCACACTCTGGGCCGGGCGGCCACGATAGGCAGTTGTGGCACGCGGCGGCACACCCAGGCTGCCCAGGGAGCACCAGCACCCGTTGAGCCTGTCGGCCGCAGCATGGTGTGCGAGGCGGGTCGGAAGCTTATTGCCTGAAATCTGACCCCCCCCCGGCCTGTCGGGCGGGGAATGGCGGGGCGGGGTGGCAACGATCCGATCCGCTGGCCACGTGTCCTCTGCTTCCGCACCTGTTCGCCGCCGGGGCCGATGTACCTCCTGACCAGGTTGGACATCCAGGTCTCCCCGACCACGAACGGATTCCACCTGATGCCGAAGTCGCGCGGATCCCAGCCTGCTTGGCAGAAAGGGGCCCCCGACCCTCCGGGAGCGGCGGACCTGAGCCAAGAGGCCCGGGACATTGAGGAATGGGGGCCTTCTCTGCAGATGCATTAAACCAAACCACCTAGGCTAATCATCCCTGCAGAAAAGACGGGCACCTAATTGAGGCCACGTCTTCATGGCGTTGTAAGGGTCAGGGGGTCGTTTCGCTCTCGATGGCAGCCTGTCCATTCTCTGCTGCCCTCGCTGCTCTCGTCCTCGCTCGTGTCGTTGGACTTCCCGTCGAAGGCCTGGCTCCTGCCGCAGCCCTCGCCGTCGTGCGGGGTCTGCGCCGAGGAGCCGCAGTGCACCCTGGCCTTCCCCGCGCCGCTCTCGGACTCCCCAGTTGGAGAGATGGACCCTGGCACCCAGGCGTCCTTCGAGGGGGGAAGGGGGGAAAGGGGGGAACACAGGGACCTGCAGCGCGCCGAGCGGACGCAGGAGGCGGCGGGTCTCCTCCGAAGGCTCAGGCGGCACCCGGCCTTCTGGGAGGTGGTCAGAGTTCCTTCCAGGCTCCCTGCGCCATCTGAAGAGGCATGCCCCCTCTCCCCGCTCCCCTCGGTGCGCCCAGAGGTCAGCGCCCCTCAAACGGGGACTTCACTAACGGGTACTTTGACCAGTGACCCAGCGAACCCAACCCTTCCCGATGCGGGCAACGCTGCATTGCCAGAAAGAGGCCCTAAGTGGCAACTTTCTGCAAAATTGCAAAGTATCCGTTAGTAAGTACCCGTTGCGGTGTCGTTGAGGAGGGGCATCGAAGTATAGACCGGGATCACCTGCTCGGCCACGGAGCTCGGGGTGCAGACGCCCCCACCTTTCCCAGCCAGCGGGACGCTGGAGCGCCCTCGCCGAATTCACATGGGTCCTCGGCCGACCAAACGACGTGGAGTATGCATCGAAGCCCGCCGGGCGCCGCCAGGAGCAGGAAGACGACGACGACGACGACGACGATGATGACGGCGACGACGACGGAGACGGAGACGCCGACGACGGCGACCACGAGGAAGACGACAGCGGCGAAGAGAGCGCGAGGCGGTGTCCGCCGAGACCAGGGTGTCGTTGGCGGTGTCCTGGCCGCCCGCGCTCCCGTGCCGGCGCAGCTCGTCGGCGCCGCTTCGGCTCTCGTCCGAGGGGTTCTGCGTCATCCTCGAGGAGAGGGGGGGAACTTTTCTAAAGGGGCCCCAGAACACACACATAAATACACACAAATAAAAATATTCCCCATATTTTCTCATATTTTCTGGGTTTTTGTCTTCCCCCCCAATTCCCATATTTTCGCATATTTTCCTGGGGATCAACGATTAATTGTGTCTGTGTGTTTTTTCCCCTCCTGATTTTCACCCAGCGGCCAAGTGACGTCACGCAGCGGCAGCTGAGGCGGCGGACGCTCAGCGCCAATCCCAGCGGGCGCTGCAGGAGGGCTACTCGGGGCGACTCGTTGCGGAGAAGGGTGGCCGCACCAGGGGAGCCCGCGCCGAGAGCGGAGAGCAAAAAGGGTGCAGCGAGCAACGGGCAACACTCTCTTTGGGAAGCGAACTCTACACGAGGACGTGTTTTCGGGCCCTGAACTGAAACTTGCACAGGGAAGTGGATTCTGGTGTATACGGGACCCTTGCGTATGCATGTTTCGTCGTGTCCCCAGGAAGAGGATAACACACCGAAAAATACACCACACCACCTCGACGTCGTCCCCTACCCTCAAGAAGAAGTCCTGGGATTGAGAAACAGCCCGCCGCTGGTAAGGTTTATGTTCCGGTTTCCGATCTCTCTCTCTCTCTCTCTCTCTCGCTCTCGCTCACTCACACACACACACACACACACACACACGTTTGCTCGCACGCGCCGAGGACAAATCTACGCGGACGTCTCGACAGGCCGGCGACCGGAGTCCGACCGCAAGGCCGCCCAGCCCCCACGCAGCGGGGGAGCGACGGGCTGGGGGCGGCGGCTGCTTACAGCAACGCCGGATCTCGGTGGAGTCAGGCCAGGGTCCAGAGCGCCCCAGGGGGAAAGATCGAGGATCGACGCTGACGGTCTCGCGCCGTCAGTCAAGGAAGCGAAGACATGGACTAGGGCTCTGGATTCGCAGCGGGCACCGCCGGGCTGGGGCAGCGACGGGCTGGGGCAGCGACAGGCTGGGGCAGAGACGGGCTGGGGGCGGCGGCGAGAACCTGCCCGCGCAGCTGACACACATGTTTTGATCCGCGGCCGATTATAATCCAACGCAGCGACAACTAAGGCGGGACACACCGAGGCAAGTTACCACCAAGCCTTTGCTCGTGGATGGCTGGGACGTGGCCGACGCGTGCGAATCAAAAGAGGGCCGGAGCCTGCGCGCGTGGACAAGGCGACATGCACAGGGGAGCAATCGCACCGACAGGATGGTGCAAGAGGCGCGGAAACGCCGCGGCCCGCAGACCACTTGAGACTGCGGAGTGGGCGAAGCAGAGGCAGGGAGGGGGCTGCTGCGGCGAGGACGCGACCTGCTGCAAGGGCAAAGGGCCAGAGCGCGGCCAGCCAGACGGATGACCAAGAAAAGCGACAACGGCAGCAGGAAGCAGAGGATGGGAGCGGCACCTGGAATCAGGACGAACCTGGGAAGGGAAGAGGGCGAGCGGCGGAGGGACAATCGACGTCCCGAGGGGAAATAACGAAAACCGTGCGACAGTCCGAGAGACGAGGAGGGGAGGGGACGAGCAGAGGAGCGATGCAGGACGGCGAGAGCAGGAGAGGACGACACCACCTGGAGGCGCACCGCGGCTGTCCAGGACTGCAGTGTCCAGGGCTGCCGACCAGCAGGCGGGCCAGGCAGACGACTCCGCGAGGGGTCACGGGCTTGAGACTCAGCTCGTAGGCACACCGCGCCCGAGGGTCAGGCCGCCTGGAGAGGCCGACTGGCCAATGGCCAGGCAGGCAACTCCGCGATGGGCCACAGGGTGCGCCCAGTGTGGCCCCCCAGCGGGGCCGACAGCGAGAGGGCAGAGAGACGTGCGGACTGGGCGTGGCAAGAAAACGTCCAGCGTCGGTCCAGCGTGACAACCCCCAGACGCACACACACACACACACACACGCACACACACACACATAAACGCACACATACACACATACGCATACGCATATGCACGCACGTCCATTTGTTCGGCGTCACGGCCGCGAGAGAGGCGACGCAGCGCAGTCAGTCAGCAGGTAACCCGAAACTTTCTGCCGAAACGCACAACCTAAACACACACGCGCACACACACACACACACATTTCCTCCACAGGCGATGCGACACCAGTCGTGAGTCAAATATGTCTGGGGCGCGTCCACACGAATTGCACCCAATGTTAGGGATGGAACGGCCAAGGGAGAGGCTGGCAACGAAAAGGAGTATCCGGACCGGCCGGCGTGCAAAAAAAACTGCTTACAGTCCGCCGGACTGTTGACCCCGCTCTGGTTGTGCAGATGGTGCGTCCACCACTGTGGGGACGCCAAGTGCAGCGTAGAGCGGGGGCCGTGCAACTGTAGACGACACGTGCGCCAACGACAGGAAATGAGAATGCCAGCAGGAGGCGGTGAAACACACACGCACACACACACACACACACACACACACACACGCACACACGCACGCACACACACACACACACACACACACACACACACACGCACGCGCACACGCACACGCACACGCACACGCACACGCACACACGCACACACACACACACACACACACACACACACACACACACACGCGCGCGCGCGCGCAATTCACACACAAACACACACACACACACTTGGGCGTCGGCGGCTGGGCAGAGGGACTGCTCCAGCGAAGTGGCATGAGTGGGCCACGCGGGAGGAGAGAGGAGGCCCGGCGCGGGAGGGAGGAAGAGGAAACCGGGCCCGCCGCGAGTAGGGCCAGGCTGCGGCCCGGGCGGGCGCGGAGGCCGGGGGGCAAGCGGCGGCGGCGAGGCGGCAGCTGGGGGACGGTTGCCGGCGGGCGGCTGGGCACAGCCAAGGGGGGGGGGGGGGGCGGGTCCAGCGCAAGATGGGGGCGGGGCAGCGCAGCAGGGCCACCGAGGTGCCGAGATCCAGGTGGACTCCAGGCAACCGAAGGCGGCAGCCAGAGTGCACCTTGCGAAATGCTTAAGAAATCATGGGTTAAGAAATTCATAGTCTCAGAACTTGAATAAAAACCCAAAATTCATATTAAAACCTTAGGATTTACATTGAAACAATAAGAATAGTCGAGACTCTGGCCGAAAACTTGGGTTTTCTTAAGCATCGCCGAAGGTGTGGACCACCTCAGGTGAAGGGCCGGGAGCACTGGGGAAGGAGACCCAGCAGGGCGGAGTGGGGGAGGCGAGGACCGGCCAGGGTGCCGAGATCCGAAGGACCTGCGAAGCAACCCGAGGGGGGATGGCCAAGGACAGCCCCAGGGCGAGGGGGCAGAAAAAGCACCAGAAAAAGGGCAGGTAGCGGAATCGACCGGCAACGCCGGTGGTGGGGCAAGCACGCCAGATGTGCAGGCCTGAAAACCAGTCAGAGAGGGGCGGTGGGTGCCGTGGCTGTGGGTGGCCAGCAAGGCACCCCAGGGACCCCAGGCGAAGGCCCGATCAGAGGACCAGGGCGGGGCAGGCGGGGGAGGAGGCAGCGGGCGAAGACCCTGGCCAAAAACCTGCAGAAGGCTGGCGATCCAGCCTGCGCAGGGCAGGGGATGCAGCGGCGTGGGCAGGGCCTCCTCCTAGAGGGAAGCGGGGCAAGGCATGACCGGGGCGGCAGCCCCGCGGCCGGGGCAAAGGCGGGGGGAGGGCGCGGAGGGCGCCGGGGGCGAGCGGCAAAACTGGCTCACGGGGGCTGGCGCCACGGCACCCCAAAGGAGGTGACGAGAGTCGGCTCACGGCATGCGGAGCAAAGGGGTTCGGCCCTAGAGGGGCAGGACATGCAGCTCCTCGGGCGGGCGCACCCGAGACGACCGCCGCGGGGCCCAGCCCCAGGGCCAGCGAGCGAAGCGCCACGCCGGGTGACGGTGCCTGTGCCCGGTGGGGGGTAGCGCCGAACAGTGCTCTGCGTGGCCGACAAGACGGACAGCCGCGAGGAAGGGCGGGGGCAGCACCGAACAGGTGCACCAAATATTGAAGGGAAGCATGGCAAGTTGCCGCGCGGGGGGAGAAGGCAGACGGGAGTGGCTGCTGCGGGGGGTAGACGCGAGGCCGCACCGAACAGGTGCACTAAGCTTGACGACTGGGGTCGGTCGGATGAGGCGTCAGCGGGAGCGCCAAAGGGCGAACCCACTGCGTAGGGCGGTGATGGTCTCGTTGCCTGCGGTCGCCTACCAGTGGCGACTGGAGGAGCCTGGGCACCGCTGCCTGGCGAAGTCGTTGCTGGGCCAGGTGGGATCGGCAGACCGTTTACCAATGGCATGAGGTAGAGAGCCTTTTGCCTTTTCCCACCTTGGCGGGCAAGCCACCTCTTTTCCATCTCCTGCTTCCACGAGACCTGCCAGTCGACGTGGATATGCTCGCTCCAGCAAAGGGTGCGGAGGTCGAAGTCGGCCTGGATGAGCGGGGCGACGAAATCCTGGCAGAACACGACTGGCAGCCGGCTTGGGTCCCTGGTGGACCCCGTCTGCCTTTGTTGGCGGTCGCAGATGGCGTTCCAGCCAATTGCCCACATGGAGCCACATTCCTTCTTGAGGCGGTTGACCACTTCATGCCAATTCTCCTGTTGGGTCGGGATGCCAGGAGATGGACTGCCGTGGTCTGTACAGCCGGTCGTCGCGATTCCAATGTGGGGTATATTCGCCGGGCAGGATGGCGGTACGATGGGGCGGGCTGGCCTGGCGCCAGGGCGGGTCGCTCCCCCAAACATCGGTCCCGCTGCCACTCCCTGCAGCTACCGGGCTGCGGTGCTCGGAGGTGCGGGGGGTCTTGCGCACGGGCTCCTCGTCGTCTTCGGCGGACGCGCCTCCGTCAGACTGCTCTACCTGTAGCGCCAGCCCGCGTTCTGGGCTTGGCTCTGGGGGCCCGTCGGTGGCGCGCTGAGTGGAGCCACGCGGGCTGAACGGGGAAGCGTCGGTGTTCGGGAGGGTTGGGCTGCCCGGGGTTCGCCACTCTGGGGAACCGCTCCAGTCTGGGCCCGAGGTGGTGTTGGGAGGGGACCG